AAGTCCAGGCCTGGACGCCAGCGCTTGGACACACGCGCCTGCAAGTCCACACTTTTAGGCAGGCGGTGAAGCTGGTGTGCTTTCGCCCGGAGAGCCCGGAATATCTGTTCCCGCTTTGCCAGCCTGGAGGCCGATGAACGAAGATGTCATCCTCGTGCCTCATCCGAGTCGACAGGAGCAACTCAGAGGCCATCCTCTTCTTCCTCCGATATAGCTCCAACTCGGAACATCCCTCCGCGGGGGTGGAAACATGGTGAGGGTCCAGTTGGGACCCCCAGCATTTTGACACAGCCGCCAGGGCTACCGCTCTCGCGGGTCTTGCTGCCACCGCGACCCCAGGCCCTGACACGGCGCGGGGCCCTCCTGGTTCAGCGGGCTGCCGCCCTGTTATTTGAGCCCCAGCTACTGCACACAGCGCGCGGGCTCAATCTCTGCGGCGCGACACGCACCATGGTCTTGCATGTCCGGCCGAGCGAATCAGCCGGACATGAGGGGCGTCATTCCATGTTCCGACAGAGCGTAGCTTGCGTGCTAGCCGTCGCGCGAGGCCTCTTAATGGTGAAAGACCGGGCCACACATTGCCCGCACAGAGCCACGAGTTAACTCGACTACAGATGGGCCTCCTGGGCGTGTTCCAGCCCGAGGCCAGGAACGAGCGCAAGACCTGGTGTGCAGCTCGTCTCGTGGCCCTGACGATCTTAAACCCGCAGCCGCATAGCCGAGCCACCGAGATCACTGACTCCTCTGGTGAAGAGGCGAGAAGAAGCGTCCCCGTCTCTGTTCGCCTTCGGTGTCATATGCTGTGGAGTGGAACACGCTACGTATACTTGACGCGACGAGAAACAACCACATCCAACCTTGTCATCTACAATCCGAAAGGAAAAGCCGACGGCGTAGATTTAATTCTTTAAAGAATATTAACTACTGGTGTGTTAAATACCTCTATTTGTTTTATCTCCGTCGTCCTCTTGGTGTGAGAGAGAAAAGAGAACGTCCTCGCTACCGTGGTGTCAGGTGTGGAGAGAAGAAAAAACTAGAAACAGGTATGTTACTAGCTTGGAAGAAAAAACTCAAACCTTACCCGTAATTTTTCGAAAGAAAGAAACGGCGAGGCAGATTACAATATTAACTGGTGTGTTAATATTGATCAGTCTTCTTGCAAAGCAAAAAAGTAACCGGCAAGCGCCAGTCGACCGAATGTTAGCTTTGGGTTCAGTCTGTGGACCGTTAAGCTAGCCCGGCTTCTGATAATTCGAGATGTGCTCTGAAGCAAGAAGAGGTGTTTGAATGACGCTGCGTTGTAGCGCAAGCTACTTATAGGGTGGGTGGATTCCCTGACGTAGACGTCAAGATCACCAGCCAATCAGGATTGGCGTAATGAGATTGATGCTTCTGTTTGCATACGCGTTGAGGCGCATCCCATAGTGAGACTTCGAACAGAGTGTTATGAATGAGAAAATTCATAGTTTATTAAATATGAAGGTTCCTTTGACGTTTTTTCCTGCAAATGACGCGATTTCTGCCCCGGATAAGGGTCCGTGGAGTTAAATTATGACGTTGGTCCCAGCTATCAGCTCTGTTTCCTTCGAAAAAGGTCCTTCCTCTTTCTATGTGCTCCACATCCCGAGAAAACAATCTTCAATTATAGTCAGAGCCTCCTGCCAGACTGATGAATAATATCCCGCCTGCTTCGTCTTATTGACAAACACCTTCATTAATCACAGAACATGCACACAATTCAGTCTCCATCTGCTACCAAGATAACAATGGCCCTGGTTTGCTAAATTCTCCACACACTGGCTTCTTACTGCTCTCTGTCATTCCTCCCTCTCTTCGCCTTGAGCTTTTCTTTGGGTTTTTTCATCTCTTATTCAAAGTCACTTTGAGGTTTTTTTTCCCCTCCCCAATCTGGACTTGAAGCCATGAAGCCCAGAAAAGATTCCAGACTTCTGACTGGTCCGGGCCACAGAGCGGATCAATGTGCAGCACACCCAAGATCAGGCTCTCTCCAGAGGCTGAGACTGACTCATATATAACTCATATGTCCATTTGATGAAACGCCAGCAGAATATATATAGATATATCAATATAAAGAGCAATCTGAAAGGAACACCTTTTACACCCTGTGACAGTATGAAATAGCTCAGGGGGTTTTATCAAACTGCTCAGAATTTGCTGTAAAAACATCAGCTCCATGTTGAACAGACTTGTTGTCGCCTCTAAATTTAAACCAGTAAAGGACTGTCAACGTCTTGAACTCAAACTTTTCCGATGAGGGAAAGCGGCACAACTGCTGCAGGGAAATTCACTGCAGTAACTCAGTAAAAATTGTGCACAAGTTATTATCAACAAATCAGCAACTTGGAAGGCCCTTTAAGAAAATTAGTTTGATTTTATAGCCTGGAACTTAACTGTAACTGCACTTAAAACCCTGTTCCAGTCACAGCAGGCGGCTGCTTTCAGCAAACAAGCTCTGATAAACTGACTGTACACAACATGCTGAGCAGCACACAGTGAGAAATCAGAAGGTAAAGAAAGTGACAGCTGCTAACAGCCAGATCATTCTCAGGAGCTGGTGGGGACCAAAACAGAGCTGAAAGAAGAGTAAATATAGTACTGCCAGTGGTGGAAAAAGTATTCAGATGCTACTTGAGCAAAAGTACTAATACATTATTGTCAAAATACTTCATTACTAGTGAAAGTCCTGCATACAAAATATTACTTAAGTAAAAGTACATTATGTTGTATCAAAAATATGTACTTAAAGTATAAATACAGTTGTAGATAAACACAGTTGTGATTGACTTTTTGTAAAATATTTAAATAATTTGATTGTGACTTAAATTAATTCATATTTTTTAAATAGCGAAAGCTGTTTAATAAATGTAGAGGATTAAAACTAAACTATTTCCCATTTGTGAGTAGAAGTACAAGGTAACATAAAATGGAAATACTCAAGTAAAGTAAAAGTACCTAGAAATGGTACTTAAGCACAGTACTGGAGTAAAAGTACTTAGTTACTTCCCACCTCTGAGTACTGCTATTCATCATGTCGTAACAAAAATGACTAATGGGTTGTTATGTTAGCTATTACACAGAAATATGGTGATACTATGTCAGGGTTGTGTGTCTGTGAGTCTGTTGGGAGGTTCTGCAAATCAATGTGAGCAGCTTTAATGAACAAGCTGCACACCTGTGTTTAACAGTCGCAGCAGAGGTGTGGACTCGAGTCACATGACTTGACTCGAGTCCGACTCCAGTCGCATATTTGTGGACTTGAGACTTGCTTGACTAACATTGATAAAAGACTTGAGTTGACTTTGACTTGGTATTCATGACTTGAGACTTGACTTAAGATTGAGACGGATGACTTGAAAGGACTTGACTTTTTAAAATGAAATATTTGCGTTTGTTTTTTTATTGAGATTTTACGTTTAGTTTTTTCGAAACCTGGCAACATGGCAGCGGCTAGCGTTACTCCCATGGTTACTCCACAAATAGTCACTTTTGGCCAGTGCTCGACAGTAACGGCCCATCCACACATTCGACGGATGCGTCAGCCAATCAAATCACGTTTATGAAAATCTGCCAGTACAACTGCTAGCCAATCAAACCGCGTGTATGCTGCGAGAGCCATACCGCAGGTCATTTCTACATGTTCCATAAAATGGAGGAGAAAATAATCATTGTGGTAGTGAATCACCCGGTGGTGTATGATCAGTCTCTGTTCATCTACCGGGATACAAACCGGAGGAGCCAGGCATGGAGGGAGGTGGCAGAGATAGTGGGTGAAACTGGTAGGTTTTCGCCTGTTTGGGGAGTTTATATCCAGTGTACCTCGTTTTAACATTGAATGGAATGCTAGCAGGCATAGACAGTATACTGTATATAGCTAGCATGGAATGTTTTTTGCTTTGTATGTCGGGGGCGGGAGATTCATGTGATTGGTTGTTGGTCGCGTTGCTCGCGTTGACTCCCCAAGCTTCAGACACGCCCAACGCCAAGCGTCAACGCACGCTGCTGTGTGGACGCTCCAAAACGGTTGCCAGGTTGCCATTGGCAACCATTCAGAAAACATTTCAACCACTTATTGGCCTTTGGTTGCCAACAGTGGCAACCAGTTTTTAACATAGAGAAATAAGGACAGCAAACAGCTAAATGTGCGCCCCAAAATAGATAAATGTTTTTGTTTTACAACAAATGGCGAAGCAAATTAAGTTGTTTGACTGTGGGGTAACTTTTTACCCCACAGTCAAACAACTTAATTTGCTTCGCCATTTGTTGTAAAACAAAAACATTTATCTATTTTGGGGCGCACATTTAGCTGTTTGCTGTCCTTATNGTTCGGGGGGAAAAGTACTCCGGTGCGAAAGCGCTTATTACTACCATGGACGTATTACTCAACATTGAGGCCGTTTCTCAATGTCGAGTAAACCTGCTGCAGAGCCACTATTTCAAGTATACTACGTCATCAAGTGGCGCCGAAGGACTGTTTAAATGCATGTTAAATGCCCAGCATTCGGCGCCACTCGATGGCGTAGTATACTTGAAATAGTGGCTCTGCAGCAGGTATACTCAACATTATATATATACGCGCACTTCCTGGGGGCTTGGTCTCAGCCAGATGATTAGTACCGCCTTCTCTTCCGGGGTCTTAACGACTTCCCATACATGTTATTTCGCTTGCTCTCGCTCTTGGGCAGTGAGCACCCTTCATACACCGGCAACACGCAACAGAGAGCAGTATATCCTCCGCCACCCACAGCACACGTTTCGCCGATCCGAGCCGAGCAGCCAGCCTTAGTGAGAGCAGCCCGGACACACACCGGAGAGAAATCGGAGCAGCGATGTTTTCCTGCAGAGCAGCTTGGCAGAGGTGTGGGCCTCTGGCGCGGAAAGCAGCCTACAGGTTGCCCCGAGATGGTGAGTTTCATTAGCAGAAGAGAAAATAAAGCATTTTTTAAATTATTCCCTTTCACACAATGTGGTTCTGACACTCTGTGGTGTAACGGGAGGTGGTCTCTTTGTCTGAGGCAGCCTGTGACTGAATTCACAGGAATAGTACACCGTGTCCTCGTGCGAATTACACTGCATAGCTGCATCCCCGAGCGCAGGAATGCCAATGGCTGCCTGAGATGTGAAGGTCAGCGGGACTGTGACAGGAGCTGGCCTCCAACACATCTGTGCATTAGAGTCTCTTATTCATAATTATTTAGTCTGTTCGGCGGGTTTCTCATTGAGGTATGGTTGTACTTTAAGCTGTAGGCATTATCAAAATTAAAAAATTACAATGACACTGAACACTTGCTGTGTGCCCCCTGCTGAGCGTTAAACAGAGCTGCACACTGTCGGATACATTCACAGCTTGTGTAATACCTGTTCTGTTTTTATACTGCAATGTCACTTGAGCCGAAACATTCATGCTTAAAAAAACGAGCCACGCAGGTTCTTTGTGAGGCAAAGGTCAATGAAGGTTCCTTACAAATTGCCAGATTGATGAAGGCCACTGCATGTATACATGAGTGTGACCTTCAGCAGGCAGCGTGGAGACATTATACTGTGTGGTGTAACATGGCTGTCAGTCACGTGGTGTGACGGAGTTGTAATGTAAAGAGTGCAGAGGCACGCGGGACACCTCTGCAGTGTGTCTGTGATGACCTTACATAAGCATGGAGGAGAATGAAGGTTTGGGCAGTGTGCTGTGAGCTAATGCAGCCTGCAGAGCTGCAGAACACACTACCCTGTCTGCCAGCTGACTCATGCTTCTATCACACACTGTATCCAAGTCCTCATTCCAGCTAACCTCCACAGGTTTTTTCAGGCTAGGGCATGTGTTTGTCAAAGAGAACCTCTTAATTTAAGGTAACTAAAGATACCAAAATGAGACTTAAGCACAAAACAGTCACTCAGTGCTTCACCATAAAGGCATTTGCTTGCAGCTGACTTTGTTGCTTCTGAATGGTCAGGTAGCAGTAATTGCACTTTAATAAAAACATGTTGTTGAAGAGCTTGGCCTTCCTCTCTAATGTCCAGAGTGACTGGCCTCTGACTGCTTCAGGCAACTCCTTCAGGTTACTGTGTCCTAAATGTCCAAAAAAAGATGCTAGCATGCAAGCCTTCCCACAAAGGCTGACCTGTTGTCTTACTGCCAGGCACGACTGGTGGCCTCTCAAGAGATTACATGAAAGAGATGTCCACTGTCCACTCCGTAAAGAGACCCATGAAGCCCCTCTCCATTCCAGTGGTCCCACTTAACCAGAGGATGGTATCATGGTCTAATCCAGTGAGTCGTTGACCTGCGTCCCCTCCACTGCTCATGAACGCTCCCACCTGAACCACCAGCTCTTGAGCCGATTAGCCAGTGTATATAAAGTCGTGCTAGAGCCCTGGATATTGGATTAGTTCCTGAGAATACGTAGCGTTTTAATACCCTCAACAGTGGACAGGACAAAGCTCCATCCGCCTTAACCTCCACAAGAACGGCTTATTATAATGGAGGACATTTTTAAACAATTTGAAGCTATTCATTTGTCCCCTTTTTATGTACGAAGCGGCTGTCAGCAGTATCAGAAAGTAATGCTGACTGGGGTCTCATCGTAAACAGTGTTGGATTTTCTCTTTCCTTTTTAATATTGTTAAATATTCCCACAGTCAAGATAATGGCAAACTAAATAAAAGAATGGTTCATCACCAAATGTGCCTAATCGTACTGTGTGCAGAATTGTAAAGCTCCTTGCTGTATGCTTAACAACAGATAAAATACGAAACCACTTTCTGTCTCCTTTCCAAGGGTGTGTACAGAGTGTCACCTTTGAGGCTTCAAGCAAGCCCTGACATGCATATTTGTATCTTTAATCTATTGTGCTAAATCCAATCAGAGGGGCGGTTATCATGAGCCAGCAGAGCGCCTTAGGCTGCTTCTCCCGATCCTCTGTACACAGCCTGATGCTGTTGGGCCTGCAGCACATTACTCCTCCCTGTGGGGTTTCAAAGCCTGCAGAGCTGCAGAGCTGCAGAGCTGTGTGAAATGGGGATGCAAGGTGGATCCTTGTCTGAAATGATTCCTTTCATAAAACCGGTCCCTCTGGGATCCTGGAGGGAGGTGAAAGTGGGAACACATACCAATGCTCCATGCTCCATTTGGAGAAATCAAACACGTTATCACATAATTGAGGACATTTTTGAGAAAGGTCTAACATTGACTTTTTTTAACCCTTTTCAGTTGTGCAGCGGCGTCAGATGTCCTCCATGCCCGGGGGCTCCGTAGAGAATATATTGTACAGCCTGCTGTGTGGAGGAGCCTTGGTTGCTTCGGTGTCCTACGTAAGTTCTATTGTTTCTATTCTCTGAAGATATAACCTTTACTTATTACATGACTTTTAAAGACTTGTCTGTGAACAGACTCCAACAGTTAGAAAACCTCAATCAGTGCTGCCGTTCATTTTAAGTTACGCTGTTGTGGCGGAAGATTCAGCCATTGGTACGCCGCAGAACAGACTTTTAATTTCTTTTTGGAAGCAATACGATCATTCCTAAATCAATAAAATAATTTAAAATCAGTATAGTGAATAAAATACTCGATTGTATTATGAAGTAGCAGTGTAATAAGCAGGGTAGTGTGCAGTGAGCTGGTCATTAATGAGAAAAGAAAGCATCCCTTACTTGTTTGACAACAATGATATGTGACCATCCAGAACCAACAAGCTTATCTTATCAAATAACATCATTTGCGCAGGATCTGAAATGAGCACTTCTGGCTTCAGGAATAGGAAATGAGTAGAATGCTCAAGTTGTGAATCTTTCCTCTCTCCACAGGCCTACAGCACCGTGTCCTCTGACAGCAACAGGTTCAATGATCGCATCTCAGAAATCAAAGCCCGGCCCAAGACGGAGTGGGTCCCTAAACCTTGGCCACCTAAGAGTAAGCATTTCTCAGCCACTGCTCCACACACTTCAGCAGGTTACACCAGCTCATGTTTTTCAGGCTAAACACGATTCTTGATCAAACTTTGCTCAGTTGCTCTTGTTCTTGTTGTGTAGGTGGAACCCAGGTTAGGGTGGACCTCCTTATAGCTGGGGTTCTTTTGGCAAATACTTTTGTTTCAAAGCTCCAAGGATAACTCATCTGTTGTCACTTTAATTGTCCCTTTCCAAGGATCTTTTGTTAGTATTATGCTAAACAGGGTTACACAATGAAGTGTAGCGGAGTCCATTATTCGACACACGGTGGAACAGAAACTGTAGCAGTGCAATTTTTGAATTTGCAACAGTAACAATGTAAAGAAACAAAAACAATAGTTAAAGCTGTATGCCGATACTGTGCCCTGCATTAGGGAAACATTGTTCATCAACTTTGTCTTTTGAGCACCAAGTTTGAACATAAAAACAGCCTTCACTCGCTGTGTCCTGGTTAGCCCACAATCTTTTCCTGCAGCGGACACGAGCCAGGTGCATGCTGGGTCCCAGCTTGAGTAAACTGTGATTGGCCTTGTATGCTCCACAAAAAAAATCAAATATATATATATATATATATAAATATATTTGCTGTTCAATACCTCTGCACTTCCTGTCCTGAACCCCCCCCTCTCCCCAGCACAAGTTCATTTCCTTCTTACACAAACATGATCCGCTCCAGCACGCGACTGTGTGTATCCTCTTTGATATCTCTTGATCTCAGGAGATTGGTTTACGTGATCCACTCGGCGTGTATGGATTGAGCAAATATGGCAAATGCTTGTGTTCTGATAGCAGTAGCGGCACATTGTAGAAACGAGAGATAAATCCACTTTGTAAACAATTTGGCTTATGTAGAGTCTGTCTCACTGCTGGTATCAACATGATTATGTTTATCACATGAAATGAAGAACAACCTTTGAGAGCTTACGATCTGCAGCTTTTGGTCCTGAGAGGAATGATTGGTCACCTACCAAATGATGCACTTTTTGCACCCACACATTTTGAGATATAATGGGCAGATATGCCTTTGTACATGAATGTTCCTCTGGCATGACCCAGTGATGGATAGAACTCAATTGATTGAAATGTGTTTTATGTGAAGCAGAATGCGTAAAGAGAACATTAAACAGACCGAGTTGTTTCCATTGCTTAACCCTGCATGTCTTTAGTGCTCAACATCTGAAGTGGCTTGTTTCTCTGTGAAACGGCACTGACGATTGTGTTTGCTTGCAGGTGGAGAGGAAGATGAGGGTAAGTTGTGTCACGCAGCTAATTAGCATGATTCGTCATCGCTGCTTCATCACTTTCTGAATGCTCTCAGAGAGGTTTGCATTGGCTTGATTGGGCTTCTATCGTTCAACTAACTGACTCTAACGTCGGTGGCTTTAGAAGCTCATGATCACATAAATCAATGTGCGTCTTTTCCACTCATGGTTCCATGGCTTGAGTAGGCCAGGCATGATTCAAAGCAATTTAGATGTATGTAGTTTGGAATCATGCACATTAGTCATGGCTATACTTTGGGCCAAAGAGTGCCTTTCTATTGGAGATGCAGAGGTGAAAGGGGAGAGAGGGGAAGACTTGTTGATTGGCTCTGGAAGCCAGCGGACTGCAGGTCTAACCTCTGAGCTATCCTGGAGCTCTATACTTTGCATTTGAACCTCCCATGTGACCTCAGTCTCTCCACCCCGTCAACAAATGTCTCCCCTCTCTTGCTCCCAGCCCCTCCCTCTCTTCATTGTGTTCTGCATATCTGTGTCGGAGACTTTAGATTCAAACCGAGTCTTCGTACCTTATGTGTTGGAAAAGGCTTTAGTTAAAACAGTCTTTAAATGAAGACACAGAGCTGTCTTATAGCGCTCCCATTACCATCACCAGTGCATCTGTACTCTGTGGTTGATGTAACATTGATGATGAGATTGTTCTGTAAATGTTTCTTTTTTTAAACTTGGCCTTTTTGAAAGACCCAGATTTGATTCTTCCCCCTTTCTCTAACTGTCTCTGTCTTTACTCTTTCAGTGTAATGCTAAAGCTAAGGTCCTCTGTGGCCGGAGATTCGTCCTAGCACTGGACTCTTTGGATCTGAATGGGAAACAAACCCCCCCCTCTCCTGTACTGCTAACAAAGGATATTCGGGACATTTTGTGAAGATTCTTTTTTTTGCTGCTTTATGTTAGTTTGGTCTGAAGAGGATAAATGGACTTGATCGAATTATTTCAAACCAATTCTGACAGATTTTTGTTTGGCAACTGTAAATGTTCAACAACACTCTAGGGTTGAAGCTAAAAAGAATAGCATTGTTTATGTGGGACGTCCATGCTAACACATTAGCATGCACTGTTGTGAGTGATATGAGTCTGTTAGCATCATCCAACGGGCATCGTGCGGCAACATGCAGTACACTGCGTATTTATCTGCTCACTGACAATCTTCTGGATTTAAAATCTCAAAGGCCTTTTTATTAATAACTGATAAACATTCTCCCCCCCCCTTCCCAATCTTTCAATAGATAAAAAAAGGAAAATAGTATTAATAATGTCATTTGTTTTCATAGGCATCAATGCTCAAATATCACTTAACACCCAATGAAGGCTATAACAGAAAAGCCTATAGTTGGCACATTATCCAGGAGACTGCTGTGTTTCCATGAGGAGGAAGATTTGAGGTATTTCTAAAAACGTTTCAAATTGTCCACTTCAGTGGGGAGGAGGTTGTATTCTCAAGAATGAACCACGTTATCATGAAACCCCACTGTGCCAGCAGTCGTCTATCCCTCCCAACAGTCCATGCTGGAGTGTGTACCAGCCGTCCCACCACTTTGTGTGTTTGTGTTGGATGTTAATGTAGTATTAAAGATTCACAACCCACTGGGCCGTCTCAGTGTCAGACTCTTTTTCAGAGTTCAGATAGTTTTTTTTAATTGGATGGTAAGAACCAAGTTTCACCTTGACCCCCTCTACCCTGCATCCTAATCCTCTCCTCCCCTTCCCTCCCCCCTCCTCACTTTCTTCTTGTCTGTCGTTCTCCTTCCTGTCCTTGAGTTGCATGCACTTTATGTAGTGAATGTGTCTCCTCAGATGTATTTGTTAGTCAGTGATCTAAAGGTAGTCCTTCTGGATCAGACTGCAGGGAAAGCATGAACAGCTTTTAGTAGCTATGTTTCCATCCAACTGTCCCTCTCTCTGGTTGTCACAGAGATGATATTAAGTTCTGATACACAGAGGCTAACTGATCAATGACAGGCAGCAGCTTGCTAAAAGTTGAAGAGTCACAGAGCTGCAGGGTTCTATTTGTTTTATCCATGATTTCTTTTATCCATGGTGTTAAATCCAAAATGCTTCAAGGCATCACTTCTCAGCGTAGATAGTTGACCTGTTGGAGCGTGCAACCGGGACACAGTCAGGTGACTTGTACCCAACTCTTCATCAGTGTGCCAATGTTTATTTCCTCTTATTTTGAATTCAGTAAGATTGTTACTCTGCTAATTATTTTCTACATTGTGATTTGACTTTCCAACAAAAAGTGAACGCCCTACATTTGACTGCATAACAACATTTTGTAGGCATTACACCTCATCCAATGTCCACACTGTGGATGGAAACCTAGCTACTGATCAATTGTGATGTCAAGTTTACAAAATAATGCACCAAGTTTAAATGGAACATCAGAAAATAAACTGAAACAAAATGTAATGGCTTTTAGTTCAGTTCAACTTGTTTTAATTGAACAATGTTTATTCAACAAGCAATTGGTTTTAGTTCAGCACAACGGCAGGTGTTAGCCCTGCTCTGGCTGATGCACGTCTTCTGGTTCTTGTGTTCCAGCTGGAGAGGAGGAGGAGGAGGAGGAGGAGGCAGCAGCCGAGGAAGAGGCCGCTGAAGAGGCTGAGGTCGGAGCAGAGGAGGCTGCTGATGGGGAGGCTGCTGATGGGGAGGCTGCTGATGGGGAGGTGGAGAGCGTAGCAGAGGCAGTCGCTGAGGTCGTTGCCGAGGTGGCGGAGGTCGTTGCCGAGGTGGCAGAGGAAGTTGCCGAGGTGGCGGAGGAAGTTGCAGAGGTGGCGCATGAAGTGGAGACTGTGGCTGAAGAAGTGGCTCACGCAGCTGAGGCTGTGGAGGAGGCTGCCGAGGCGGGCGCAGAACCAGCCGCCGCCGAGGAGTCCGACAGCAACGGTACGCCTGCTGCACCTGAGGGGGGGAGGCAGCTGCCCCTGAGGCCTGAGGCTTGAGGTTCATACTCGCACTACAGGGAGACACACACTACCACTATGTCTAACCACCAGGTGTTTTTCTTCCCTCACACAATGGGAATAATGAGCAGTGACTTCCAGTCACAGTCACAACCACTGAAGGGTTAGCTGCTTCTCAGGTGCCTGGGTTCACCTCTTATTGATCTTTCTCTTCTGTCTTCCGTAAAATGTCTATTTTCACTGTATTTAATTTATTGGAATGGGTATAGAGGCCAACACTCTGCAAATGAAGTGTTTGTTTTTCTGGTGTGCAGTGTAGATCGCTGTGTGATATGTATATTTGTTCAGATTATTATGGGCCGAGGGATGTTTAAAAGCAGCAGCTCATCCTCTCAACCGGTTCCTTCCGATTTACAGCTGCGCGCCACATACTCTTATTTGCAGTTATGGGTGAAATAAAAGTGATCACTGTGAATAGATACATACATGCATAAGTATTGGCCGTTATTTAACATGACTGAACACCAGCTAATTCTGTAGTAAACGAACTCTGAGAACAAGCAGGAACACCCCTCAAATGCTGTGATATCATTGGTATCTTTTAGAAATGAAGGCCATAATGCTAATTTACGGGATTTGACCAATCGCTGTGTTACATTGAAATCTCTGTTTATCCATCTCAGGGCGAGATGGCCCTTTGCAGACTCTGTAACTGCTAGTGTGTTCTTTTCCTAAGTGTAATGTGAAAATCTTAAGAGCTCATTAGATTACAAGTTATTTAACTTATGTGATCATATTTTTATTTAGCTTATAACTGGAAAATGAGTACTGTGAATGGTAATTCATCAACCACACAATAAAACTTTTCTCAATCTGGAAAGCTTTACTGCGGTCTTTAATTTGTCTGTTTAACGTCATTTGTATCAGAAGCTTTTAGGAAGGGTATTTCTAACCCTTCAATCCACTCTAAATAAAAAAAAACATAATTTTTTATTTCTAAATTTACAATTTTTCTGTAAACTATAAAAATGTCTCATCTTGAATGTACGTCTTTGGAGCTATTGTAGATTTTCAGTTATTGATCATGATTAAAATGCTCACTTAATAAATGCATTTAAATGTCATAGCTTTTCCTTATCACTAAACCTGCTTGATCACTTTGCACTGGGACTTCTGAGAAAACCCTTTCTTTCTGCACGGTTTGCACTTCTAGGAACGGTGCATGATGACCTACATACACCAACATGTATATCAGTACTGCTGTATATTCTGGGGAAATACTAACAAGAAATGGCAGTTCTGAAATGCGTTGCTTGTCCAACAGAGAGGACTGTAACAGACTTTAACTTGATCACCAGTGATGTTTGGATGGCTGGATTTTGTGTTTCAGTGCCGCTGGCTGCTGCCTCTGCTCTAGAGGCTCCAGAGATAACTGAAGACAAGGAAGAGTTGGACAACCGCTGGTGAAACAAGGAAGCCCCTGCCATCAGTAGAAGAAGCCCTTGCACCAGTAGAGGTTGCACCAGTAGAAGAAGCCCTTGCACCAGTAGAAGAAGCCCCTGCCACCAGGAGAGGTGGCACCAGTAGAAGAAGCCCCTGATGCACCAGTAGAGGATGGCACCGTAGAAAGAAGCCCCCTGCACCAGTAGAGGTTGCCACCAGTATGAAGAAGGGCCCCTGCACCAGTAAGAGGTTGCCACCAGTAGAGAAGCCCCTGCGCCAGTAGAAGGAAGCCCCCTGCACCAGGAGAGGTGGCAACAGTAGAAGAAGCCCCCTGCACCAGTAGAGGTGGCACCAGTAAGAAGAATCCCTGCCCAGTAGAGGTTGCACCAGTAGAAGAAGGCCCCCTGCACCAGTAGAGGNCGAATTGCAAACCACGCCCCGTAAAACTCCGAAAGGTTTTCTGAAGCTGCCATTTTATTTGCTCGCATTAGCCATAGCATTAGCCATAGCATTAGCCCAGCGCACCAATGGAGAGAGACTAATTTATGGCAACACAAAAGAAAACATGGGAGCGGTGGAGTGATGAGGAGGTGTCGGCGCTTTTGGCGATTTACTCGGAAGACACGACCCAGCAGCATTTTGACGGGTGGTTAATCGCCGCAGTGAGCGTCACCTGCCACTCTGATCCACTGACCCCCCCTTCACACACACACAGGGCCGTCCCTCCCTACAGGCAGATCACGCAGACTGCGTGGGGCCTCACCTCGCGGAGGGGGCCTCATCTTGCGCAATTAGTGTGGCGCGGCACGGTTTTGCCGCGGCGAGGCTCCACTAGTGTTTTCAGGGAATGATCGTAGAGGGCGTACACACGGAGCCGCAAGCGTTTCGTCCTCAGACCTACCCACTTTGGGAGTCGTTATCAACGTGTATCGGATTCGGGCTCCGAATCCGATATATATATTTTTTCCGTGTTTTCGTGTCGGCCTTGTGTGGACGAACGATAGAGAACGTAAGCGGATTCAACTGATATCGTCTCTGTGTGGACGGGGCCTTATTCCGGTGAGAACGCGGTCTACAGTTCCAGGGACTAAAGCGTTCGGGGGGGAACATGTACCGGGGACAAGTAACGGCTAAGTACTTGGTTTGAAAGCGGCTAATGCCACCAGTGGAGGAAGGTGCAGTAAACTGAAGTAGCCTATGCAATGTATGATAATTGTGCAAATTGCCCAACACATGCAAGTGAGCATCCAGCAGTTTATTTGTGTTTTGGACCTACAAGTCTATACTTTGGACCCATACTATACATTTCTATCATAAAACTTCGGGGTACCTCAAAAGTGATTTCAGACAACTTTTAACTCCACTTGAACTATAACTTTTGTTTCTTTGCAGATTCTCTAATCTCAAATGTAAATGTTACCCTGAATTACAATATGCATAATATCATAAAATAAAATAGTTGTAAGACTAGAATATTCCCCACCAGCTGCAGTATGAAGTCAGGAACACATTAATGCATCATTCATCTAACAATATAACCAGTGTGTTTAGTTGGTAGGCAACTTTGACTTAAAGTAGGTTTTGATAGTATGCATTTGTACAATTTTGAATGGAGGGCTTTAGCTGGTTACAGTGTATTTGCACTGTAGTATTACTTATTTTACTTATGGAAAACTGAATACTTGTTCTACTCATGAATGTGACAGAAACTCAAGATGTTTAAAGAGAGGTGATCAAAACTTGGAAAGAAATTGCATGTGATATGATAGTTGGATAAGCAATAGCCTTACAAAGTATATCAAGTTTTACACTTGCAATATCCAGTTTTTCACATTATAGATTATTGGATTATTTAATTAATACATCAGCATTTAAAATTAAATAATAATATTTATTCAGAATTTAATTAAATCAAATATTCCTAATTTTCTTATTAGAGCCTAACCAACAACTCACTGTACACTTCCTCTGCTGCCTCTCCTCTGAGCAGTGAGCACTGATCAACCCTCTCTTCTGGGCACTGATCACTCCTCATACAGTGACTTTCATCGTGGTTTCACTTCAGGAACGCACGGAAGGTCGCAGACAGCACGTGAAATGATGATGTTGCTGCTTGGAATTCTTCACATTTCACTCAGTCTGAAAACTGTTGTCCATGTTGTAGCTACTGCAGCTTTATTTTGACATCTTATCCCAGAAAATCCTGCGTGTCGACATTCAAACACTTACATATACACATAC